ACTTTATCAATTCGAGTTTAGAATTTGAGTTTTGCTACAGTAAAAAGTTCTCACAAACAATCACATCTAATTTTTTTGCTACAGTAAAAAGTTCTCACATAAAATCACATCTCAACTCGAATTACAAACTCGAATCAGCGAAGTGAACGGATCCTATATTAAGTGGGACTAATAGCGATACGGCAACGACTTTCATGTTTGTTCAGAGACGAGTCCATTTTTGAACAACCAACTTTGGGTCCAGCCCAAAGTCACACGCGCAACTATTCTTGTGAAAAAGCAAGAAATCCAATCATGGAAGAGTACGTGGCACGTAATAGCTTAAACACAAAAATTAAGAATAGATCACAGTTTAACTGGAAAAGAAATTTGAGACTACCCGTAATTTTGTGGGCGTGACAGGAGCCGTTTAGTAACGTTTTTAAAATTATTTTATTTTTAATATAAAAATAAAAATGAGATTGTTTTAAGAATTATTTTAAAATTGATTGTGAAATTGTGTTTCATTAATTTTTTAAGATTTTTTTTTAAGTATAATAAAAAATTAAAATCATATTTGGTTATAATTATTAATTAATATATTATAATATTATTGATAAGTACTAGAAAATGAAAACATAAAGGAGAAAACAGTTTTTAACCTTTTTTAAATTTCTTCACAAAAATCATTCTCACTATTTTTTATTTTTGTTTTCGCTTTCAAAACATTTGCTAAACAAACACGATTTACATACCGTTTTTATTTTTGTGCCTAAAAGCATTTTTAAAAACAAATAAAAATCAATTCCAAACACACCTAAAGCTTCTCATTTTCTTCATTAAGTATTTAAGTTTAGGTTGGTGCACTATAGACAGTAGTAGATAAAGTATGTGAATAATTCACTCCTTGAGAGTAGAGTTGCACTACCAATTACATTATTAGGTGTTGCTACTATTAGAGTCGAAAATATATTTGAACTTCCAACAACTGCTACTTGCTTGATTCTTGATCTTTAGTTTTCCTAAAACTCAGTCCAAAAAAAAAATGAGGGTTCATGTGAAGAGCTAAAAATTCAAGGTTCAAATTTAAAATCTTTTTAGAAAAATACCAATAAATGAACACGAGAGTTTCAGTTACCGTCAATTCTCAACGATTTGGTTTTCAACACTTTAGTTTAGTTTTGCCACGTAAGTTACTCGATCTTTATATGTACCCACTATGATTATTTGTTTATATTTATGCGTCATGACCTCATATATTGTGATTTTCATTTAAACTCTTATTTTAAGTTAGAACCCTTCATCTTGCTATGAAGATTCATTAACCTTTAAACAGTAATTTTCCCTGATTTTCCCTATACTTTACTAATGTTTCTACCTGTTTTTCTTAAACCATCGTTCTATCAATAAAATATTTTCATCCCATAGCTTAGAGTTGTTAAATGGGCCATGGATGACCCGGCCCAACACGTAACAGTGGCAGGGTCGGCACAGCCCGAGACGATACTGTTACAAGCCGTGTCGACCCTACACGTTAGACGGGCTAGGGCTGGGCCTTAGCTTCTCAGTCTGAGGCCCAGGCCCGGCCCGGCCTTAGCCCTTGAAGCCCGTGATTCGGCCCAATTCCTTATTCGGCCCAGGCCCACATTCGGCCCGCCAGGCACGCGTACAAGTGACCGTTGGGCCCATCGCGTGCCCAACGATCGGCCCCTGATGGGCCTGCCTTTAGGCCCGTCACGGGCCGACTGTTGGGCACGCGACAAGCCCAACAGTCACTTGCGGGCAAGCCCGTCACGGGCCCACGCGACGAGCCCAATAGTCACTTGCGGAAAATGCTCAAAAAACCCCTATAAATACCTTTAAATTCCACACAATAATTCACTCTCAACTTCTCATCTCACTCTCAAAAAATCTCTCATCTTGTCTCTTTGATATTGATTCTAAGTTTTTCTCTCTCGATTCCTCATTTTCTTGCTCTTTCATTTACAAAGTTCAATCAATTTGAAGAAATCCTGGAAAAAAAAGGTATTCTACTTATCAATTTTGTTACATAATAGTGTATTACTCAAGTTTATTTATATTATTTATCGTTTATAAATGAACGAATTAACATTAGTTTCTATTTTTTTTTTGTTTTAGAAAATGGCCACATCAAATTTCTCTAATTTTCATGTGCTCCTGGAGCTTGGTGATGAACCATTTTACGAGGATGAAATGTTGGCCCACAACTCCAACCCCACTGAACTGGAAACTTTTCCGGATGATAATGCTTCGGTGCACAATGAGGAAGTTAGAGAACGTGGCAAGAGAAAAAGACCGCGAACTGCTCTTGTATGACAACAGGTGAAATAGAAATTCGTGTGGTATGTAAATATTCTAAAAAATACTTTTCTAATAAAAAGGGTGGGGGTACTGGTCATCTGGATAGATATTGGGAAGCATGTCTACCGTTGCACCAAGGTGGGAGTGTGGACTCCCGCCAACAAACATTATCACTCACATCACAAGGGTTGCAAAATTTGACATACGATGTACACCGTGCTCGTGAGGCACTAGCTAAATTTTTAGCTAGTGCCAAATTACCTCTTTCTTTTGCAAATGATGCAGCGTTTGAAGAATTCATACAGACGGTCTTCTGCCCGTAATTTAAATGGGTAAGTAGAAACACAACTCATTCTGATTGCATGTAAGTATTTTATGTAATGAGATAATCTCTAGATGATAATTTTATGTCTTTTAATGCTATTATATCTTGTACTTCTGATCTTTGGGAGGGGTACAATAAAACTGGATATTTATGCGTCACAACGCATTATGTTGACGAGGAATGAGTTTTACAAAAGAGAATAATAAGTTTTCATTTATTTCCATTTCCTCATAATGCAACTGCTATTTTTTCAACTACAATGGGAATTTTTAATTTTTATGGGATAGAAGAAAAGGTTTTAACAATTACTTTTAATAATGCGTCAGCTAACACGGCTGCAATTAACATGTTTAAACTTAATTTGAAACCACCTTTTGGTGGCGAAATTTTTCATCAACGGTGTGCATGTCACATAATGAATTTAGTAGTACAAGCAGGAATTGAACAGATTTCCTCTCATCTAACAAATATTAGAAAATCTTTATCCTTCATATCTAATTATGGAGCTCGGCTTCAAGAATTTCGACAATATTGCAGGAAAAGCCAGATGCGCCTAAGAAAGTTTTCAACTTAAGTGAGACATAGGTGGAACTCTATTTACTTAATGTTGAAGACTGCAATTCTATATCAACAGATCATCACAATGTACATGAATAGTAAGCATGGTGAGCATTTAATTTTCGATACAGACTGGAAGATTGGTGAGTACTTTTTAAAATTTTTAGAAGTTTTCTACAACGCTACTAAATTTCTTTCTAGAGTTTATTATCCTACTGCGCATTTAGCTTTGCATCAACTATTTAATATTTCAGAAACATTCTCTTATTATAGGGATAGTTAACTTTTTGAAATCATAGTTAAGCTAATGGAAGTTAAATTTAAAAGTTATCGGGTGAGTTATCCTATGTTACATTCATTAACAACCATTTTAGATCCTAGATGCGGATTAGATGAGACTAAATCTTTGATGTCTGCTGTAGCAGAAAAATTTAGATATTGATATAAGACTAACTATTGTCGAAGCTAGGAAAATGTTAGAAAATTATTTGCCTTGTATGAAACAAAATACAAAACAAGACAAAAAGAATAGGGAACTTCGATGTCAAGAAGCAGTTCGAGGCCAAAAGGTTCATTGTGGAGCTTCTTGAAGAAGAAAGA